AAGGCATGAGGATCCAGACCACGATGATCTTGGTCTTGGTCCTCATGAAGGGGAGAACACGGCTACTGATGCTCAACCAATAGTGTCCATTGCACCACCACCACCACCTCAATCACAAAACCAACCACCATCATCAACCCAAGGAACCCAAGCGAGGGAACCAGAGGCTCAGCCCTCTGAAAATGTACACAATGTACATGTTCCCTTTGCCACCACCCATTAAGCTAAGTTCATCATCAGATGAAGATCAGTCCAATCCTCAAACAGAAACCAACCTACCTTTCACTCCATCACCAACTCCCAACCTACCCTTAACTCCATCACCAACCCCTCGCACCACAGAACCTTCCATAAACTTACCCATACAACCAGAACCCATAATCTCCCAACCTTCCTCACCCCAACATCCTCAAACCCAAACAGAATGCTATGAACCAGAAACCACCCATCCAGAGCCCAATGAACCAGAACTACCCCAACCTGAGCCAACCCATCAAGAAACCATTCCATCACCAACCCATTCACAACCCTTAGCCCAAACACAACCCACAACCCCACCAACCCAGGTGCAAGCGGACGTTCCCTCCTCATCGAGGCATCCACCTCAAGGGCTCGTCGATGAAATAATTGCAAATATGGAGTCGCTGAGGAGACGTCCAAAGATGCCGTCAAGGGAGCCAGTGATAATGGAAAACATCCATCAATACTTGTATCACGATCGTGATGAAGGTTTAGCTCTCAATCCTCCAATGCTATCACAAGAATCGATGAACCTCCTATGCCACAGGTTTGTAAGACAGACTACCCAACCACCACAAGCTGTATTCTCAAAACGAATAAATAAGGACGGTCATGGATATCAAGATGAGGACCTTTGCAAACAGAGCCATCAAATACATCGAGTACACTGTGGAGCGACCCCATGGTCATGTCAGCGTCTTCAATGACAGTGACTTCATTAATCTCAATTCATATGACTTGATTGATCTTTTTGCGCATACGACTTAGCGACAATATCAAGGAATAAGATTTGGGATGGCAAACAGAGCGATCGTTCAAGTTATGGAAACCTTGGTGAAGCACAAAGCTAAGAGTGATTTTCAAATTGCTTTTCAACTTGGCATCGACAGACTATCCTGCACTCCACCCAATGAAGACTTCTTAGGCCTACAGAAGAAGAGATCTGCCTCTGTACTAACTCAACCAGAACTGGGACTGGTATTCAAAAATGAGTTTGGAGCTAAGAAGTTTTTCAGACTTATTGAAGCTTCAAGTACTCGACCAGAACACTTGAATGGTTTCAAACAGTCATCAGAGACATATTAGGCAGACCTCATGTGTCGATGGGAAAGGGACAAAGACTTATTCATGAGATCTCAATAGTCATTCAATATAGAGGACTGTTGATGCGCTTTTGGGAAATTACACAAGATAGATCATGAATGAAGTTTTTCTTTTGCTTTGAATTTTAATATATTTTGTTCCATCGATGTAAGAATTCATCAATTAGTCCAATGAAAAATTTGGCAAATGATGATTTTCTTTAGATTAACCTCTGTTCTTCGTTTATGTTTTAAATGTTTCTAGATTAGTTCATGTTTGTTTTTTCATTACTTAGGGGGAGATTGTTAGACCCCATAATTCTTATGTGTAAAAGTAATGAAGAAAAACAAGTGATGAAGAACTAGAAGGCCAATGGAAGACTACTAGGCAAAATGGATAAGTGCTCAATACAACCAGAGGGTCGATGAATTGACCAGAGGTGCGATGGATCGAGCATCTTCATAACCCCTCTAGTTATCAACACTTGGAGTTTTCTACTATAGTTCAACCAGAGGCATGCGATGAAGATATGAAGATAAGGTTGAATAACGGCCCATGGAAGACAACTGGAGATGACAAATCGATAGCTGGATTCTACAAAGTTTATCTCGTTTTGTTTGTTATCTATGTCTAGATAAGCTTTATCTTTCCCTAGAAGATTTGCTAGATAGTCTCACTAGATAGTTATCTTCTTGTTTAGCGTACTAGTATGAATAGGTGGTTAGGCCTATTGTAATCATTATTGCTTTGAACGCTTTTTCTATCATTTTGGAATAAAGTGAATATTCCGGCACTCAAGTATATTCTTTGAAGATTCATATTTTGTTCTTGAGTGTTCTTCATTTTATTCATTCACACAACATAATTAGGTTATTCTTAATTTAATTATTAGTGTTATTGAGAGATCTGGGATCAACACTAGTCAACACTCCTTTGAGTCTTTTGCCGACTTTGATGTTACTCCCCCTTGATCTTTATTACAAACTCCCCTTATAACGTTCAGAAATGAACATTTCATTCATTATTTCATACTCCCTCTTATGATGAAATGAGAATCATTAGCATCAATCACAAGAATGAATGAAATCTTCAACGATAGCCGTCAATTCATAAAATTGTAAGCAGATCTTTTCAAATCCACTTGTATAATCTTTTTAGATTAAGGGAATAGGAAGGTAACAACCAATTTCAACGTATGAAATTGCTTTCAATCTTATAAAAAGATTGGTCTGTGAGTATAACAAATATACTCAGTACAACGGATGTGCTTCATATATGAGAATTTATGAGGCTCATCTCACCAGGTGTTCCATTCAATCATTAATATCTTATAAAAGTATATCTATGAATGTTTTGGCAAAATAAAATATAATTTACAAAATCTGTGTAGTGTAGAAAGATAAAGCAACATATGCTTCTGTTTAGGATCAAAATGATAAACCGTGTGGACTACATTAACTTATCAGACTCAATGCGTGATCAAAAAGACTTGAAGGGAGACATATATCCTTATGTTTCAATATCAACTTTCTCCGAATGAGAAATTGATAGATTGTGAGCTGCATGCCTAAATGTTATTGAAACACTTATCTGTTGAGAGATAAATGAGTAGTTGGTAGGGTTGTGACAAGAATTGACCTGGGCTTTGCCTTTTTCAATAATAGTCTCGAAAGAATTGTGAACTAATAGATTATGTGGTATGCCCGAAATTTAGAAGTTTGGAACAGGATTCTTATAATCTTTTAATCCTGACACAACTTTCATCAATTCTTTTGGCTCACAACAACTACCCCTCTCTTTTTCATGTTAAGCTCAACACACAAACCCTTTTGTATTTAAAGCTCACTCAGATATGGTTGTCCTCTTAGGTAGGTTTGTCGGTTCTGCCATTCCATAGAGGTATTTCTGATAAGCACTCAGTCCCTCCTAAATTTAGCATTATGCTCAGTTGATCACAATGGTTGATCAAAAATATTATTGCAATGATCAGGTAAAAATTTGATCAAAATGTGTAGCATTGAAGCACAATCAAATAAGGAGTGATACGTAAAATCAGATTATTTAGTATGTGAGAGAAATGAATGAAGATCTGTAAGTACGAGTTTATAGAATCTGATATTCAAAGAATTATACAATGTCTATCAATCAAAAAAAATACCATAAAAACAATCATTAAATAAAACGAGCGTATTATCACCGAAAATGATTTTCAATTTAAGAGACGTGATAATAACAGTTTGAAGAATAGTTGAAACAGGTATTGCAGTTATGTTCGATGAGAAATTATGCACGTAAAATCTCAGGAAATACATGTTCAGAAAATGTACTCGTTTTCAAAAAAAATATTTCACTTTCCGAAAACATTTATTCAAAAATTCTAGAGACTCCACCTAGAAAAAAGATTTAAGTAATGTTTCAGTTCAACACAAAAAATTAAAAAAAAAATTGGAAACATGTTTAGCACGGGTCCTAAACTGGGTGTTTAGAAACCAAAACCATTAAAGCACGGGTCCTGAACTGATATATTCAGAAGCCTTATTTAAACAATGTATAACTCCCCCTGAATTTGTGCATCATCTGTATGAATTTCTGATCAGCGCAGTAATGACGCACTTGCAAAATAAGATCAGACAGATTTTGGTACCCAAATGAACTTGGGTCCTTTGTTAGTATCAGATTGTGAGATGTTATAACTTCCAAACCATCTATTTTTATTAGATATGTTCTTTTTCGCGCTTTTAACAGGATGGTTATATACATAATAAGATCCATACCAATTATTGTTATCATACCTATTATTACCTTTCCAACTTTTCTGATATCTATTGTCTGCATTCTATCTGTTGTACCTTCTCCTGTTCACAAAATCAGTATTATTGCATGTGGAGCACATGATCCTTTTCTTGCTAAGATTTATCAAGTCAGAAGTGGATCTCACAAAACAAGGAAGATTATTGTTAGAAACAACAGAATGTCGAGATGAAATAGATTCAGATTTATTTACCCAAATACGTTTAACTTTAGAAGAATAATTGGGTGATCTGATGACATACCCTTGATAATACTGATTAGAAGAACGAGAATAGTTCTTAGAAATAGTAGATTTAGGACTGCTTGAATAACTGTTGGATTTGGAACAGTCATAAAAGCTGGTTTTACACTTTGAAGAAGAACCAGTTGAGCTTTGAGCACAAGAAATGTCTTTGACTTTCTTTAAAAGCTGGTCTCGTTCAACAACAACTAAATCATACTTCTCTTTGAGTTCAGTTCTTATTTTCTTCAGTTTCAAGTTCTGTCTTCAGATCAGACAATTTTTTTGAAGTATCCAGAAGTTTACCTTTTAACTCCTTCAACTTCTCAAATTTCTTCTTATGATTATCAAACTCTCTTCTCTTTTCATCTGAGCTGTTTTTCTCATTTTCAGAAGCGATGTCGAGCCACTCTTTCTTTTCAGGAAGCTCTTTAGCTATTGATGTATATTTCATTGCAGTATTTCTCTTTTCAAGCGCAAATTGTTTCTTCTCTTCATTTAAAGCTTTCTGGTTTTGAGCAATGCTGTCAGACAATTTCTGATTCTGGCTCAGACATTCTTCTCTGATGTCGTTCTTTTCTTTATCTATCTTGGCTCGTTCCAAGATAATCAGCTGCTCAAAATCATAGATCTGATTTAAAAGCATTTACGCGTTCAGCTCTAGAGAGTTTATCTTATTTTCATAAGATATGCGTTCAACACCAAATTTCTTTTCAACTTCTATCATCTTTTCCTTTTCTTTCTCCAAAATCTTCCTTTTCAGTATCCAATTTTTTTTAGCTTCTATTATCTCATCTTTCTTCTTTTTCAATAAATTTCTTTCCCTAGTCAATTCACTCTCAGATTTACTAAGTTTCTCTGTTAACTCCTCAAACTCTTTATTCTTATTTCCTTGAGAGTTCTTCTCAGCATTCAGTTCAAACTCAGCTTTACGAATTTTATTTACCAGTTCTTGCTCAATTTTGCTTTGCTTTATTGCTTCTTCATCTGACTCTTTTCTTTCAGATTCCAAAGTCTTTTCCAGCTCATGAATTGTAGATTTCAACCCAGAATTTTCCTTTAACTGTTCAAAGTCTGTTCTTCGACTCCTTCTGAAATCATAAGCATTTCCAAGTAATACATCAATTTTCACTTGAAGATATTCCTTTTCCTCTTTAGATTTTTCAAGATCTTGTTTCAACTCTTTAGCCCATTCCAAATTAGCGTGAATTTCAAGAAACACAATCACATATTTTTCCTTAAAATCCTTCACGCACTTTTCGAATTCAGAAACTTTAACTCTTAACTCTCTCTCTATTCTCCCTCTCAAAAGAAACTGCCATTTTAAAATCAGATTGATCAACAAAGAATCTAATGTTGTAAAATCAATCAAAAGAAATAAAAAACAATCAATAAGCTCAAAAACAATCAGAAAACTCAAAATTTGTTGAGAAAATAGAAAATCGACGGAAAAACTATAAAAATATCAGTAAAAACAATCAAAAACTGTTGAAAACAGTAAAAAAAAAGATTTAAGACTGATAAGAAACAGTTTACGCAATGCAAAACAGTTCAAAATTCTCAAACAGTCCAAAGCAAACCAAAAAACAGATTAAAAACAGTTCAAAATAGATAAAATCAGTTAAATCTCAATTAAAAAGTGATCCAAAAATGAAAGAAAAAAAACAGATTAAAAAACAGTTCAAAATAGATAAAATCAGTTAAATCTCAATTAAAAAGTGATCCAAAAATGAAAGAAAAAAAATTGTCAATGTAGGGTCAAAAAAAAAAGTGACCCAAGAAAAAACAGTTCTACACCCCTTAGATGAAAACAAAAAAAATGGGCTAAAGAAAAACAATGGGCTAAAATATACAATAAGGTCCAATATGGATCAAGCCCAAACAAAATGATCAAGTCCAAAATCGTCCAAAATACGTCTAAACCTATATCTTGGTTGACTGAGAAAAGTCAAAATCAGACACTAGTTCCTTGAGACGAGTAATTGATCAAAACAGTTCCTGTGAGCGAGAAACCTTAAATCCGGCCAAGCTTGAAAACTAATGCGACATTTGGGTCTTTCCAGTCCGAGAATTTAACCAACTCTTCCTCTACTGCTTCTGCTGCTACCGTTGAGGATTCTGTGCCACTTATGAATAGGATGCCTGGCTGTGCGATTTGAATGAAATTGCAGATGAGAAAATTCAAATCCAACTGTCCTTTGAGCGATATTACTTGAATTTGATAGAACTTTATTTTATCTTCCTCAAACCCTACCACAGCTTCTTCTACACCTATTTTCTGTTTCAATGGTAATCTGCCTGCTAATGAGAGTAATTCAAGTTGTCTCTGTGTAAATCCAGACTCAAATATTTTTCTTGATATAACATCAAACACAACAAATTCCTCATCTGAGGGGGTGTTTGAGATTGCCTATAAAAGTTGTTTTTTAACTTATTTCAGTCTGACAAGCTGTTTTATGGTGTTTGGATAAGGAAAAAAACTGCTTATAACGGTGCCGATAATAAGCTTACAACATTACATCAATCATTGTTCCCAATTCCTCTATTGCACCACATAATACACTTCACTTCATCTTTATTCACCTCATCCCACATACCTATCCAAAATCAAACTAACCAAGTCCGCCTAATATGAAATCTGCCTGGTGAGATGAACGATGTAGGCTTGAACTCGGTCAAAGCATTGTGCTTCAAAGAATATGAAATACGGACAAGCTTGAATCCGATTAATCTCAAATATGATCAAACCTCCAATAAGACAAGCCGGCCCAAAATTTGAGTAGCTTTTTCGATTTGTGGCTGCCTTCCCACAACAGGATCCAGCTTTTCCTCCTTTGCTAGCTTTGTCAAGGTGATCACTTACTAAGCCTGTGTCTGATTTATGTTGAGACAAAACAGAAGTATGCGATTTAGACAACTGATAATATGGTGTCCGATTTATGTAAAATCGGACAGAGTGATAAGTGATTTAGAGATTTTCAAAATCAAATCCAAATGAACGCAAGCGATTTCTTAAATCGAACAAGGAAGGAACGATTTAGATGAAATTGAAACTGGAAATCTGCGATTGATAGCAAAATCAAACAGACTGTTGTGCGATTAAACTCAAATTGGATGAAGCGATGAACGATTTAGGAAGAAGATGATGAAACCGATTGCTACAAGAAGAACCTGTGCGATATATGAACCTTTAAATCGATAAGGACGTCTGCGATAAATTTTGAAATCGCTTGTCTTCGTCAGAGGTAGATGTTAAATCGGATGCAAGGTTGTGCGATAAACGTTGAAATCGACCAAACCTGTATGTGGCTTAAGTCTTGAAATCGACCAAGCTGTGACAGTAGAGATTGTAAATCGGATGAGCCTTGTTGAGCGATGAAGACAATCGTGTAGGGTGTTGAGCGATTTATAGAGAAATCGCTTGTGCCTTTGTCCGATTTAGAAGATAGATGAAGCTGTTACGCGATTTAGGTGATTTAAAGTCCAAAATCAGCTGGGCCAAAACTGTTGGGCCTTGAGCGATTTAAGATCAAAACAAAAAAAAAAATCAAAAAACACAAAAACAGTAAGAGAAATAAAAAAAAAATGGATCAAAAACAGATTTTTCACAAAATTTTCAAGAACAAATTTTTTTTCAAAAACACAAAAAATTCACCAAAAACTCGAAAATCAATGATTAAAATATAAATCTTTGTGTATAACAAAGATTCATTAAAAGATTACGCAAAATTTGATCACAAAAACACAAAATTTTAAAAAAAATTGGATCAAATTCAAAGAAAAAAAAGAACACGAAGAACAAGATGAAGAACACAAAAAAATCCATAAAATTTCTTCTAAAAATTCTTCAAAACACACTGATTTCTTTTCTTGATTTCATGCACAATCTGCTCTGATACCAATTGATAGGTCACTTTAAGATCAATCTTCATAATCTTCAATATTCCATGGCAGATTTGATAATCTTCAAGAATACAATGAGAGGAGAGTTGAGTGAATATGTCAAACTTGGTCAACCTTTCAATAGACGTAAGATTTTACAATTGAGTTCATACATCTAAAATTACACTAAGACTAATCAATATATAGGGTCAAACAATAATCCTCAAAGTCAAAGTCAAAGTCAAAGTCACTGGAAAAGTCAAACACGATGTCTATTTAATTATAGACAATTTTATCTTTTCAAGACGAATACAATTAACACTGAAAATCAATCCTAACATCTTTGTAAGTACAACAACGAATTTGAACATCTTCTTGATCAGCTTGCTGTAGATATCTTCAATTATTAGTTTGTGCCTTGACTTTGAGTGCTGAATGGCTTAGCGAATTTCTAGCCATTCACTGTATCCGTATTGTTCAAGGTAGGAAGGACACTTAGTAACAGCTTCAAGGTTGTCTTTAGAGATGAGCATGGAGATGAGAAGTCCACCATATTTCATTCGTCCATTGATTGTGACGCTTGAGATGCGATGAGGACTTATTCTCTTATTTAAATGATCTTCACTCCATTTCCTGTCTCGGTCGTTCAACTTCATTGCTTTTTCACGTTCAGCTTCTGCAATTGAAAGCAATTTAGCTTGGGCCATGACAGCGTTCACCATCATTTTAGACGATTTCTTTAGAAGAACTTGAGTAGCAAGAGACTTGGCCAGCATGAGTTTGTCCTTAGTCTGTTATTGTTGAATACAGAGTTCTTCCTCAGCCTTGAGTGCTTCGAGTCTTTCAGCTTCACTAAGGAAGTCAAACTCACCACAACTAGAGGTACGAAAAAGAATTTTTACTCTAGTTAGGTCGAGTGACTCCTTAAGCCGAGTCATCGGTTGGTCACTAGGAACACTAGAAGTTGGGTTTTTAGGTACCCATTCCTCTAGACGACCACAGGTAGTAGAAGGGATAAAAAATAGATTTGAAACAAAGAAGTGACGATTGTAAACCTGGAGGGTTTTGTGTGTTCTTGAGGAAAGGTTTGAAGAGAAATTTTAGATTTCATTCTTCAGCAACACCTTTGTCTTTGGAGGAGGTGTTCTGATTCTTTGTGGAAGTCTCTTTCTCTTTTTCTTTTCTTTCTCCCCCTGGGATGAAGAATCCTTGAGAGAGACTCCTTTCAGAGTGCTGGCAAGTTTGTGGTATTGAATGGTGAAGTCGTCGTCATCATCGTCTTTATCATCATGACCACCGATCTTTTCCAGCGTCAGGAAGGGTTGAAGAGTCATCATCATCTTCATCGTCTTCATCTTTACCTTCATCTTCCTCATCACCAGCATCAGCTGCATGGTGATAGGAAGGTCTTCGTCATGAGCTTCAGCATCAGCTCTGACGGCATCATCAACAACCTCAGCTTTAGCTTAATGGGATTTAGCTCTTTGAGCATCAGCTTCATATGGTGTTGTAGGGACGATAGCAGCAGCAACAACAAAGTCTTTCTCCCCCTCTTTGTCATTGCATGACGAGAGAAAAGGTTATCAAGACTCAGGGCTATAATGTCCATTCATTGTTCAAGCATGGTCAGAGATCGAGCTTGAAGAAGACCAACTTCGAGAATCTAATCCAGTGATAAGTGATCCATTGATGTAAAAGAGGGTGTAGGAGATGGTACTAGTCGTTAAAGAAGATCCAGTATCTAGTGCAACATCTCACCATGCTTGGAAGTTAAGCATTCGCTTCATCGGCTTTGCTGTTGAGAATAGAGATAGCCTCAACATTGGTGCGTACATCGGCTTTGATAGTCTCACTTCTTCAATCAATCTTCAAGAATCAAGATAAAACTCTATAAATGGCATTCTTCAAGTATGAACTTTTGAGAGAAAAGGTCAAATAGTCAATGTGGGTTTATTTCACTAATTCTCTCAATTACACAAGGATTATTACAAATGAGCTCCTTTCCTACACTAAAACTCCCTTACAAGAACTATTTATAGGTCAAACTAGAATACACAAGTCAAAGTCAAACTCAAGACTTACTAAGACAAACAACAAGAAATACAAAATTAATCTTTCAAGGATTAATACAAATAACTCTAAAATTCAATCCTAACATTGTCGTCCCCCTTTTGATTCAAGCTTGAAAGAATTTGTACTCTTTGAATCTCTTTTGAAACTTTGACGCTTTAAGCACTTAAAGACTTCTTAAAATCTTCAAGTTAAACTTCTAACATTATCCTCTTTATGTTCTTCAGATAATTTTCTCTTGAGAAAATCTTCCACAACATTCTCCCCTCGAATTTTGAACAAAATAATCTTATCTTTTTACAGTTTGATGGAACACTGTAACAACAGTCTTCAGATATGATTTTCTAAGAACTTCTTCAGATAACATTCTCCTTTCTTGAAATCTCTTTCAGTAAACTCTTGTTAAGATGAGATCTTCACATTCAACTCCCCTTCAATATTGTAGCACAAGAATAATCTTCAGAATAATCAGCAGTCCTCTTCATTCACAATCCTTGAGTCTTTTGCAAATTTCCGATCTTCAGAATTGACTATTTCATACATTATATGATACTCCCCCTTATGATACAACAAAATGAATGAAACTTGAATGTATGCCATCAATTCGTAAAATTTTAAGCAAATCTTTTCAAATTCGCTTTTAATATTTTCAGATTATAAAGATGGGAAAAATAACCAAATTCAACTTATGAACTTGTTAACAATCTTATAAAAAGATTGACCTTTGAATATAACAAATATATTCAGTACAACGAATGTACTTCATATATGAGACTTTTTAAAGTTCATCTCACCAGGACTTCCATGCAATTATTGATAGCTTATAAAAAGCATATATATGAATGTTACGGCAAAATAACAGATATTTTGCAAAATTTGTGTAGTGAAAAAGAATAAAGCAATAAATGCTTCAAATTAGGCTAAAAAAGATAAACCGTGTGCACTACACAAATTTATCAGACTCAATTCGTGATCAAAAAGACTTGAAGGGGGACATATATTCTTCCTTTTCAATGTCAATTTTCTCCAAATGAGAAACTGATATATTGTGAGCTGCGTGTCCCAAGTGTTATTGAAACACTTATCTTTTAAGAGATAAATGAGTAGCTAGTGGAGTTTGTGACAAGAATTAGCCTGGGCTTTGCCTTTTTCAATATTAGTCTCCAAAGAATTGAGAACTAATAGATTTCGTGGTTTGCCCGTATTATAGAGGTTAAAACATGATTTTTTTTAATCTTTTAATCCTAACACAATTCTCATCATTTCTTTTAGCTCACTACAACTACCCCTCTCCTTTTCATTTTAAGCTCTGCACACAAAACCATTTTGTATTTCAACTCACTCAGATATGGATGTCTTCCCGGGTAGGTATGTCGGTTCTGACATTCCATAAAGGTATTTCTGTGAGGCACTCAGTCCCTCATAAATATAACAAGGGCGAGTCACCTTCATGCGGGGCTACCTAGCTACCATGGAAGACAAACCTTCCCCCATTGAAGGGCGCTGGCTTTCATTATTAGGGTATTTTCGAGGAGTGGCTGGCTTGGCTGGACAACGATGGATTGAAGGTAAGATAGATTTGAGTGAAAGTGGCACAGGACCTTCGATCTACCATAGGGTAGAATACTACCGAATTCATTCTATTGAAGCGTAACATTTCATTTCCTGTTGCATTTCTTTGGTTTGGAAGTTCCAGATTGCTTCAGGCAAGCTTCTAAAAGAGCATTACCCCACCTAGTATGCTTTTGTTGAAGGGAGGATATAAGCTCAATTGATCACAAACGATTGATCAAAATATTATAGCAAAGATGCTCAAATGATCAATAAAAAATATAACGATTAAGCACAATCAACAAGGAGTGATATTCAATTCATACTATTCAGGATATGTGGGAGAAATGAATGAAGATCTGTAAGTACAAGTTTACAGATTCAGACAATCAAAGAATAATGAATTATGTATCAATCAAAGTAAGAAAAAATTCAGAAAACAACTTTGAATACAAACGAGTGTATTATCACTGAAAATGATTTTCATTTAAGAGACATGATAATAACAGTTTGAAGAATAGTTGAAACATGTATTAGAATTATGTACGATGAGAAATTACGCAAGTAAAATCTCAAGAAATACCTGCTCAGAAAAGATACTCGTTTAAAAAACAATTCAGTTTCCAAAAATTTTTATCAAACTCTTATCAGCAACTCACCCTAGAAAAATAGATTTAAGTAATATTCATTTCAACTCAAAAACCAAAAATGAAAACATTTTGGCTCGGGTCCTGAACTGTGTTGTTCAGAAGCTATATTTCGTTTCAGCTCGGGTCCTAAACCGTTTTATTCAGAAACCATATTCAAACAGAATACAAACTCCCTTGCATCAGTGTATCATAGTAATGATTTTCTTATCAGCACAACATATGACACACCTTCAAAACAGATCAAGTAGATTTTGGTACCCCGACAAACTTGGGTCCTACTTGGTTAGTATTGGGCTGGGGAATATTGTACCTGCCAAACCATCTATTTCTATTAGATGTATTCTTTTTAGAACTTTTAACAGGTTGATCAGATAAACAGTAAGATCCATACCAGTTATTGTCATACCTGTTAAATCCATTCCAACTGTTCTGATAAAGAAGGTTGTCTCCATACCATCTGTTGTACCTTTTCTTATTGACAAAATCATTTGTTCTGCATGTTGAGCACATGATTCTTCTCTTACTAAGATTGATCATGAGAAGTCCAAATTTCATACGAATCTTGAAGAAATCTTCATCAAATCTCAAGAACAAATATGAATTCAAGATAGATTGGAGAGAGAGAATTACTTTGCTGTCAAATCACCTTTTCTCTGATTAATGATGTAATCAATCTGTAATTACAATTACAATTACAATGGAAAGACTATTTATACTAAGGAAAATAAAGCTAAACTAATTACAATAAAGCTAAGTAAATGGAGAAACTTGAATACAACATTTAAGCACTAATCTTGAACCCAAYATTCTCCCCCTTTGGATTCAAGTTTGGACTCTTATAAATTTCGTTTTGCGCAGTCCAAGAATCTTCTCAAACCTTCTCAGAGCATTTCGGTATTGAATTTTTTCTTCGAGCAGATTAATAGCATTAACGAACATATATCTTTCTTTGGCATTCATTCGCTCAGA